TCAGCTCTGAAGATGTTTTTCTGTCCAAAATATTGTTTAACCCAGGTCTCTGATTCACATCAGTTGTGTAATCAGATCCTAACTACATGACAGGCAAAGAGCTTTGTCAAAGAAAATGTATATTTGCCATCCTCAACAAAGGGCCTTTGTGCTGAGGCTAAAATTAGGTTGGCAGGTAGTACTGGAATCAAATATGAATGGATAATAATAAATGATAGTATTAATAGAAGTCACTATTAATAATAATAGTATTATAAGTAATACTATTAGTGGAGGTCATTATTAAGCATGTACTAATTGTCAGGCTCTTTGGTTTTCATTTACTGAACACTATTTAATTGTCACAAAGCCTCTTTGATACAGGTACCATCCTTAAGCTCATTTTTCAGATAGATGATAGTGAGCCATTGGGAGGTTAAATCATTTCCACAACTTCATATATGTGTAAGTTGTGAAGCTGGGACTTAAACAAAGACTCTCTGACTCCAGCATTGAGATAAGGCAATATGGAAGGTGTCATCCTTTGGATATAAAATCAATTTTTCTTAACTTTGCTGAGAGAACAACTCTGATTCATGGCTATAGGCAATGGTCCTCTTGTCTCCAGATGCTTTGTACTGTTGTTCAGAAAGTATTCGTATATGTCTGTCTCCACTAACGAAAAACTGAAATTATATGTTAGATTTGCAATATTACAATAGTACTATCTTAAAGATGAACAGCAATATATAGAGAGAGACATAGTTATCAATGTGGTACAATTATATATAGGTGTATGTATGTATATATATATAAATTAATCTGAAGACCATTTAAAATTATGCCAAGAAATATGATTGCCTTGTTTTTCTCTAGTTATAAAACTTCTTATTAAGTACAGGCATACCTCATTTTATTGCACTTTGTTTTATTGCACTTCACAGATACTGTATTTTTAACAAATTGAAGGTCTGTGGCAACCCTGTGTTAAGCAAGTCTGTAGACACTTTTTCCAACAGCATTTGCTCCCTTTGTGCCTGTGTCACATTTTAGTAATTGTTGCAATATTTCAAACTTCTGAGTTTGATGACTGTGAGGGGTTCAAGACTTCAGTGGAGGAAGTAACTGCTGATGTGGTGCAAAGAGCAAGAGAACTAGAATTTAGAAGTGGAGCCTGAAGATGGGACTGAGTTGCTGCAACCTCAGGATAAAACTTGAATGAGTGAGGAGTTGCTTCTTACAGATGAGCAAAGAAAGTGCCTTCTCAAGGTGGAATCAACCCCTGATGCAGATGCTGTGAAGACTGTGGAAATGACAACAGAGGATTTAGAACATGACATAAACTGAGTTGGTAAAGCAGCAGGAGGGTTTGAGAGAATTGACTCCAATTTTAAAAGAAGTTCTATGTGGGTAAAATGCTGTCAAACAGCAAGCATGCTACAGAGAAACCATTCACAAAAGGAAGAGTCAATCAATGCAGAAAATTTCATTGCTGTCTTATTTTAGGGAGTTGCCACAGTCACCCCAGACTTCAGCACCCATCACCCTGATAGTCAGCAGCCATCAGCATTGAGGCAATACCCTCCAGCAAAAAGATTACAACTTGGGGAAAGCTCAGACGATGATTAGCATTTTTTAGCAATAAAGTAGTTTTAAGTTAAGGTATATATTTGGGGGGTTTTTTTGGACATAATGCTATTGCACACTTAATAGACTATGGTGTCATATAAATATAACTTTTATAGGCCCTGGGAAACCAAAAAAACTCATGACTTGCTTTATGGGGGTGGTCTGGAACTGAATCCGCAGTATCTCCAAGGTATGCCTACAAACATAATAGAGAATGTCTATTTAAATATATTTTCAAAGATTTAAATGAAAGGTTATTTAAGAGCCCACTTTGTTCAAAATTAATACTATTAAGGGTTGATTTGAGGCTAGGTCATATATCTGGTCTGAAGAATTAATTGGTGTATGTTTTGACTTTCTGTTCTTTTGACACAAAGCAAATGAGCCCATTTATGTGGTGTCCAAGAGTTATTTGATTTCCCTAAAGGGAGAGAATGTTATAGTAGAAAGGCCTGGGATGAAAGTTTAGATACCTGGGATCTAACCTCAAGTTGACAGTTACTAACTATGTGAACTCGGATCTATCGCTTACTAGTGGGCCTGCTCTTGGAAAAGTTACTTAACCCAATTCTTAATTTCCTCATGTGTCAGAAATACAGATAATAACGAATACCATGCTGGAATATTAAAAGGAATAAATAAATAGTAACACAAGAAAGCATCCATGGTAGATTGCCTGATACAGAAATTCTATATCCTTTTCTTGGGCAAGGTCGGTTACATCTTTGGCTTTTGTTTCCTAAATCTATAATAATACTAACAGCATTTATGATGTACCAGCCACTGTTCTAAGTGTGTTACTTGAATATACTAATTCACAACAACCTTACGAGGTAGACACAGAGAGGTTAAACAACCTGCTGAAGGTTACTCAGCTTAAACATGGGAAAGCCTTTATTCAAATCTCAGCGGTCTGGTTCCAGAGCCTTCTGTTTTTAACCACTACACTGTGCTTTCTTCTAAAGGAAGGGGTTGTAGGCTGTACCAGTAGTTTATTGTCTGTTCTGCTGCATAATAACCACAAACCTCAAGGGCATAGAACAATAGGCATTTAGTGATCACACATGTTGAAATAGTGGTTAGGCAACTGTTGGTCTTGGCTGAGCTCCCTCACATGGCTTGGGGTTGGTTTGCTGTGGGGCTTGTTTGGGACTGGGCTGTTTGCCTTTGCTCCAAGTGTCTCTCATCCTGCAGCAGACTAGTTTGGGAATATTCACATGGTGAATGGCAGAAGTGAAAGAGCAAAATGGAAAAACACAAGGGCTTTTCTAAGAAGCCTTTGCTGTGTCATGTCTGCTAAAGCGAATCACATGGCTGACCCCAGAGTCAAAGTGGGAGGACATTACAAAGGCGGTAGATATAAGAATGTGCCACTTGACACACTGAAGTTATTTTGTTATACACCACAAATGCCACAGTCTAGGGTTCTAAAATTCTTAAATATTAAGGATTAATTCTAAAAGTTGACCTCTGTCAAAACTGACAATTAAATGGAAAACTTCTTTCCATCTTACATATGAAGAAACTAAGCATCAGTTTCAAAATGACTTAACAAGAGAACAAGATTTCTTTGTCTATATTATTGTTTTTACCTTTTGACCCTCTTTACCTATTTCTCCACCCTCAGCCCCCCAGTTCTGGCACCAGCGGCTGTTCTCTGTACCTATAAACTTGTTTTGTTTTTGTTTTTTTAATTCCACATATAAGAGACCAGGCAGTATTTGTCTTTCTCTCTAGCACAATGCACTTGAGGTCCATCTATGGTTGTCACGAATGGCAAGATTTCATTATTTTTTTATGGCTGAGTAATAGTCCATTGTGTATGTAGATGTGTGTGTGTGTGTGTGGTTGTGTACGTGCATGCATATATGCACGTACACAACCACACACACACTAATTTCTTTATCCCTTCATTCATCAATGGACGCTTAGATTGTTCTTAGGTTGTTTCCATATCTTGGCTATTGTAAATAATGCTATAATGAACATAGGGGTGCATATATCTTTTTGAGTTAGTCTTTTCATTTTCTTCAGATGAATACCCAGAAGTGGAATTGCTGGATCACATAGTAATTTTATTTTTCATTTTTTCCATACTGTTTTCCACAGTGGTTTCACCAATTTACGTTTTCACCAACAGTGCACAAGGATTCCTTTTTCTCTATGTCCTAACTAGCACTTGTTTCTTCTCTTTTTGATAATGGCCATTCTAACAGGTGTGAGGTGATATCTATTTGGTTTTGATTTGCATTTTTTGATGATTAATGATATTGAGCACCTTTTCATGTGTCTGTTGGCCATTTGCATGTTTTCTGTAGAAAAAGGTCTGTTCAGATACTCTGCCCACTTTTTAATTAGATTGTTTGGGTTTTTTTGCTATTTAGTTGTGTCAGTTCTTTATATTTTGGATATTAACCCTTTATCATTATATGATAATTCTTTACATACACACACCCACACATTTCTGGAAAATAGGCAGAAACTTCTTCTAGGAATACTTAGCTCAGTCTATAATCCCAAGGTAGTGATGGTGATGATGGTGATGATAGCTAATCTTTTATGAGTTTACTATGTGCCAAGCACTGATTTCAGCACTTTACATATAGTAGCTCCTTTAATCTTTACAACAACCCTATTAATAGGTACTATTAGTAGTTTACATTTTACAGATGAAGAGTTGAGAGATTTGGTAATTTCCCAGGGTCCCATAGCTTTTGTGTAAGATCTTCCCACCAAATAACTTTTTTAAAATTGAATTATGTCTAGACCTCTTTGTTATGGATTTGAAGGATGTCTGTAATCTGGCCCTATCCAATTTAATTATCTGTAAATTCCATTGCTATGAGGTATAATTTTAGACATTTAAGAACCTAGGATTTTGTAGATGGCATGCATGTAATGAAGGGAGCTGAACTAGGTGCTGTAGAAATTTATTCCAATTTCAAAAATATGTAATTCTGAGTCCCTGTATGTATTTCCTCCCATGTATGTTCAGTTTTAAAAAATGTTGCAAGGATCCTTTATGTGAATAACTAAACTTATTTCTAGGGGATGAAGAAAGTATGAACTAAAGTCATTTTATTCCTGTGCTCCAAAAGTAGAATCCTTAGCTTTGATTTTCTTTCTCACTCTGCAAACAGATCTCTGCCCTGACTTGGGGCTATCTTGAGAATAAAATTCTGTTTGATTTGGTCACATAATCAGAAAGACGAGATATGACTCTTTCTGAGACATAAGTGTTTCGGAGACATTTAATGATACTAATATATGTCATTAAAATGAACATTTATAATTCCATTATGCCCCTGTTTCAGATATTTGAGAATTGAGAGGTACCTGTACATTGGTATTTTGAGATGATTAGCTAAATAAATTGCTATTTTATTCAACAGGTGGATTTTCAGAAAAGACATATGAATGGAGCTCAGAAGAGGAGGAGCCGGTGAAAAAGGCAGGACCAGTCCAAGTCCTCATTGTCAAAGATGACCATTCCTTTGAGTTAGATGAAACTGCACTAAATCGGATCCTTCTCTCAGAGGCTGTCAGGGACAAGGAGGTTGTTGCTGTATCTGTTGCTGGAGCATTTAGAAAAGGAAAATCATTCCTGATGGACTTCATGTTGAGATACATGTACAACCAGGTATGTAAAAAGTGCTTTAAAATGTTTTCTTGTTTCTGTGCTTTTGTCACTTTGTGTTTTTATTTAGTAGTGCTCAGTATTTCCAGTTCCATTATTACATACACTGTGGTATAGAGCCATTCCAACTTCAGTGCTTTGGGCACCAAACTCCATAGGCCACTTTTTTGGGGGGCCACTTTGCCACATGTCCCTTAGAATATAACTTATTCTTTTTATTCTTTCAGAAAGAGACACAGCATAGTGATATGATTATAAACTTTATGTTAGAGTGTTTAAAATGTGTCAAATAACTTTTATTGTAACTTTTTTATTATAATAATTTTCTCCCCAACATTTATTATGGCAAATTTCAAGCATGCAGCAAAGTTAAAAGAATTTTACAGTGAAGACCTAACTACCTAGATTTTACCATTAACATTAATATTCTTGCATTATCACATGTGTCTTCAGCTATTCTTCCCTCTTTACACCCATCACTGCATCTGATTTTTTTATTCATTTCAAAGTAAATTGCTGACATTGGCACACTTCCTCAGAAATATTTCTACCTATATCATTATCATATATTTCAGTACTTAGTTGTTTTGTTTTAAAATTTACATTACAGTTACATGCACAAATCTTAAGTGTACATTTGCTTATTATTATTATTTTTTGAAAATGCATATGCCTACATGGGCCCAAATTCTATCAAGTATATCTTGCTGTTACCCCAGAAAGTTCTCTCTTATCTTTTCCCACTTGATTCTCATCTTACCCCACCCCCAGAAGCAACCAACAGTGTCATAACATTTGAGACAACAGTGTGGCACAGAAATGAAACTTTAAGGGACTTAGGATAAACCAAGAGCAGAAGGATAACAGAGTCGAGGAACAGAAGGTTGGGAATGGAGAACATACCAGTATTTTTTTTCCCTACCCTTTTACCCATAGCAATTCTGTTGCAAATATGGATGTGGAGGCCAAATGGACACACTACTGTGTTATGTTTATACCATAATTATCCATTTGGGATTGATCTTTTATAGTTAGGGTATTTTTGAATAGTTTTGTAAATTTAACTTTAATATCTTCTATCTCTAGCTTCAGTTCAAACAAATAAAGAATAGAACTACCAAAATACTTTAGGCTTTAAAACCAAACAGAGCTCTTGCCATTCTGTGTTCCTAGCATATCACCATTAGTATGCTACTTAACATGGGTGGGAAAATTAAGTGAACAAAATTAGTTTCCATTCTTTGGGATTATACAGTTTTAGGCATATTCATAGTTTTAACTGTGAGATAAACATTAAAATTAAATGCTCAATAACACTTGTCATGTTGCTTGTGTTAAATAGCACTTGCCAGATTAAAGTGTAACAGATTTCTTATGTTTTTGTTTTTCTGCAACACTACTAGGTGCCTCTCCTCTTGCTTTTCACTCCCTCCTCCCCCAATACCAAAGTGTTTGTATGTGTTATTATTGTGTATATCCTGACATAATATCCTCTCTCTTATCTATATTTCTTTGCTTCTAGAATGCCCTCCCCAAGTTTGCGCTCCTGGAGAATTCCCAAACATCCTTCACATTTTAGCACAAACACCACCTCTCCTATTAAGTTTTACCTGACCAAGAGTTATTTCTTTTCCAATGCTTCTGTTTGTGCCTACTATACATGGCAACATAGTGGTTTGTTAGCATGTCTGTCTTTTTTTTTTATTAGGTTGTGAGTTTTCTCTGGTCTAGAATGGTATCTTTTTTTTTTTTTTTAAGATTTTATTTATTTGACAGAGAGAGACACAGCGAAGAGGGAACATAAGCAGGGGCGGGTGGGAGAGGGAGAAGCAGGCCTCCCGTGGAGCAGGGAGCCCGATGCGGGGCTCGATCTCAGGACCCTGGGATCATGACCCTAGCAGAAGGCAGATGCTTAACGACTGAACCACCCAGGCGGCCCTGGAATGATATCTTTGCATTCCCAGGACCTAGAATAAAATGTAGCAGATAGTGCTCCTTTGTAATAATATTTTAGATAAAGTAATTGTATCAATACAGTAGATATGAATATGTTGTTTCCTTTTGACTATAGTTGGAGAGAGATACAAACCAGAATTGATGTGTGGAAAAAACTATACCACATAGCCAGTTCCCATATCACAGACTTTCTTAATTTATAGGAATCAGTCGACTGGGTTGGAGATTACAATGAACCATTGACTGGTTTTTCATGGAGAGGTGGGTCTGAACGAGAGACCACAGGAATCCAAATATGGAGTGAAGTCTTCCTTATCAATAAACCTGATGGCAAGAAGGTATGATGCAAACTTCATAAAGAAAATTGAGTTTCACTTGCAAGAGTTACCACTTTTCAGGATCCTCAAAAATAATCTTTTGAAAACTAATTTAAAAGGGAAGTGGGTAGCATCCTATTGCGCATTCCTGTTTCCCTTTCTGTTGATCAAGGTGGCAAAATCATAGGGACAGTAGAACAGCAGATCGATCAGCAAACTAACATCTACACTTTGTTTCAATACTGTTTCTGTTATGTTGGGTTACCAATGAAAATTGATCACTATAGTATTCAGCTAATATTTTTAGTTTCTGCAGCAATCATAACATATAAAAATATACCTATTAAGTATTCACTGATAATGGTTTGCTTTAGTTCTTGTGGTGTTCAATTTGTAGTACCCCTAATACTGCATCTGTTCTATAAAGTATCAATGATGTACTCTACTTGTCTGTAGGTTGCAGTGCTATTGATGGATACTCAGGGAACATTCGATAGTCAGTCAACTCTGAGAGATTCAGCTACAGTATTTGCGCTTAGCACAATGATCAGCTCAATACAGGTATGGAATAAAATAAATCCATTTTGATGGCTGTTTCTTTAACTAAAACTTATAAATATATGTGTCCCTACATACATGTGGTAGTAAGACAAACAGCAGAAACGGTAAATATGTTATTTGGCTCAATTAGCATACAAGTTCTTATGATTTCTGTAAGAATAGAATTGTTTTGGTTACTGTTACCTAATTTCTGTTCAGTTTTCAAACTGTCTATAGTCAGAAAAATTTGTATTATCTTATTGATAATATTTTCTGTTTAAAGCCTACAATAAACTCAATAATACTGTCTTATGATGTATGCAGATAGATACATTGAAACTACCTATTATAAGTTACATTTACTGAAACAAGATTTATAAATGCGATTTTTTTTTTACATAGCCAGTAGAAATATTTCTAAGTATAAAAACATATGTTTTCCCAGCTTTTTTTTTCTTTTTTAGAGAGAGAGAGAGAGTGAGAGGGTGTGTGATGTGGGGTGGGGGGATGTCTAGGAGGGGAGGGGCAAAGGAAGAGGGAGAGAGAGAATCCTAAGCAGGCTCCATGAGCAGGGAGCCTGATGCGAGGCTCAATCTCATGACCTGAGCCAAAATCAAGAGTCGGATGCTTAACCAACTGAGACACCCAGGCGGGCTTTTTTTTTTTTTTTTTTTAAGATGCTTTCCCAACTTTTAAAAATACTTAATAGACATTTAGATAAGTAAATGTCTTACAAAAATTTTTATCTTTGTGGCGCCTGGGTGGCTCAGTCGGTTGAGCCTCCTACTCCTGATTATGGCTCAGGTCATGATCTCAGGGTCCTGAGATCAAGCCCCACGTTGGGCCCTGTGCTTAGTGCAGGGTCTGCTTGGTATTCTCTCTCTCCCTCTTCCCAAACCCCTGCTCCTGTGCTCTCTAAATAAATAAATAAATAGATAAATAAAAAATAAATGAAAATCTTTTAAAAAATTTTATCTTCCCTTCCTTTTTTCTTTCTTTGTCTTTTTAAAGTATTGTTTTTGAAGTTATCGTAGGCTTTACAAATTGTCCTGCAAGTCCTTGGAGAGTTTTACTATAGTCATAGAACATATACCATGAAAGATATTAGACAGTTTTTAGATATTTTCTATTCATTAGAAAGAGCAAGAAGAAATAGTGACCAAGAAACAGATGGTTAAAGAGAGGTAAGATAGTTTAAAAGGTAGGGAAGGCAAAGTGGTTGGGATAAATAAGTCAAGGCTGGAGTTATAGGTGAGCAGAGAATGAAGCAAGTGAACCAGCAACCAGGGCATCATGTGTGGTTAGGACAATGAGAGGGTGGGTAGAAGGAAGACTGAATGTTTTTTACAAAAAGCTTTAAAATGAAAGTCAGGATTATAACCTGTGTTTGACTAACTTTTAAAAATAGACTTCTTAGATGGATGAGCCTTTAAAATACTGACTTAAAATCTAATTTCTTCAAAATCAGCAGTATAAGCAAGCCAATTAAAACAAGATTGACTTTGCCTTTTAATATTTATTATTTATATTTTATGTGAAGACATTGAATATTTTCACTGAAAAATATAAGTCCCTAGTAATGACTTTTTATTATCTGAGAAATAATCTGTTATTTAAATAAGTACACAAAGTATGTTGTTTGTGTCAATACATAAACATATAAGCATCCTTAACTTTTTTTTTGAAGTTACCCCTCAAAAAAAAAAAAAAAAGAATGTCATCTTAGTGCTGTGATCTGTTCATGGAGCAGTAATGCGTATGTATAAAGATGTGAGCCTGATATTTGGAACCTCACTTCAATGTGATAGAACTATCTATAGCCTTAACTAAATTAATCAGTTGTGAAAAGGTCAACATAATTTTTTAAGACAAAATTTTATGTATGGGTTATTCAGATCTAGATTGCTATTATTTTGGTATGCTTGTAAGAATGATTACTTTATTGACCAATTGTTTAGTTAGGTTCATGAATAATTTTAATATTCTGTCTCCAGAGCAGGTGGCTGTGGTATTTCTGAAACAATTTTGTGATCATTGTACATTGTCTTTTGTCTTTCAAGCTTTCTTTACTACTCTCTCAAGGTCTTAGAAATACCATTATTTAAGCATACGCTTCAGAGAGTTTGATTTTGTGAACATTGATATTTACAAAAATAAAAGTGCTTCAGCGGATGCTAATTATTTTCTCATTTTAACTTCATTTCTTAATCAAGGTATATAACTTATCCCAGAATGTCCAGGAGGATGATCTTCAGCACCTCCAGGTAACAATATGTATACTCTTTTTTTACATATCTGGTCATCTTTTGAGGATGTATGGGTTTTGTTGGGCCTTCTTCTACTTGGAAAACTTAATTCAGAAAGATTTAGAAACATAATCAAATAGAGGTTGTCCTGTTTCCAGGTTTCTTGTTTCAGCCTGTATAGTTATGTTCTTTCTAATTCAGTTTTCAAATTTCTTTGTTACTATAAAGCTACTTGCTATCGGCCCTATATATGTGAATATATATGGCAGATTAGAGAAAAGAATTTTTGGTTTAAAAATGACCCAAAATGTAAAGTTGATCTAGTTATAAAATAAATAGCTCATGGAGGTGAAAAGTACACCATAGGGAATATAGTCATTAATATTGTAATAATGTTGTATGGTGACAGATGGTAATCACACTTATCATGGTGAGCATAGCATAATGTATAGAGTTATCAAGTCACTATGCTGTACACCTGAAACTAATATTATAACACTGTATGTCAGCTATACTTTAATAGTACGTTTTAAAAACCTTTCTGTTCTATATGCTGCCCTCAGAGTATTATTACAGCAAAAATGCAGAGAAAAAAACCTGAAGTTGAAGTCTTATGGTCAGAGATTTAATAATTGTTGGTATGATATCAGTTGAATGCCAGACTTTTTTTCCTATGGACTACTTTATACCTAAAAACTAGGAGGGGCTACCTGATGATAATTCATAAAATTCTGTTTTAGATCTGAAAGAGTGACACCTAATTTATCCTTCATATTTTACGGATGGGGTAAATTTGGCTGAAAGTAGTAAATGACTTGCCTAAACTCATGTGGCTAATTAGTGGTAAAGTGGGACTAGAAATCTGGGTATCTCCTGGGCTCAGTGCTCCTTCCAGTCTCCAAGCAGCACTTAAATCTCAAATAAGTAAAAGATTAGATATTTCCTTAAGATAGTTCACATCTCTGTAACACTCTCTGCTGTCTTTCAGTGCATGTTATTTTGGCTACATAGCAAAACCTGTTGTTTCTCTGATAGTTTCCTTCTGCATATTTTATAGAAAATTTTGCTTTAAATATATAATCTATCTTGGCAATAAGAGCCATGTACAAATTTACCAGACAACAAAGGATAATAAAGCAGGGTAAGCTGTGATGTTGGAAATAGCATTTGGAGTTCACATCCAGCATTATTCCCAAATATATTTCTAGTACATCACACGGCATTTATGACAAATAGGCAATACGCTGAATAATTGTTTCTTATAATAAGTACGATTTACTTCTTCAGGCTGTGTCATAACCTAGCCAGTTATTTTCCAAGCTAATGGTATGGCACTGTTCAATACCAGCTTAGGGATTTCTTAAGACGGCTGATTTTGGACTTTGAGATTGAGTAAGTAATGTTTTTCTGAGACCATTTAAAATTTTTCCTGTAAATGACAACACCTCAGCCTCCTCAGAAGAGATTGTGAATTCCAGTTATGTTAGTAGATGATTCTAATGTGAGTGTCTAATCCCTCGACCAGCTGCCTTTTAGACATGATATTGGGAATTACCCTTGGCTTCCTAGATGCTTCTGCAAGAGAGGCAGGGTGGTGCTGTGGGAGCTATCCTAAAGGGGCAAGAGGTGGGAATCCTCTGTGTCAGTTCCGCCCCAGCTCTGAGAAGCTGCTGTGACTTATTAGTCTTGTGGATGAAGTGGCATTTCCTGTGTACAGCTGGGGAAACCCACTGGGCTGGGCTGGATGAAACGCTCATCAGAGGCCTAATCACAGTCACCTGCTCAGGTCTTTGTTCTCTAAAACCTTACATTTCTGGCAACACAAAAACTGATATGGTTCCTCTCAATGGGGAGCAATTAGAAAGAAGAGAAGGTGGTATATCTGATTGTATTTTTAAGCCAGATGCCTTTATGCCTTTGTTAGTAATTCAGTCCATTGTGCCGTTAAATTTCCTCAGGCAACAACTTTTGTAAATATGTCCAACATAGTTTATGGCTCTCTGGTCTATATGTGCGAGTTCTGCTTTGAAAGGTTATTTACCATGTTACTTTCTCCCCCATCTTCCCTACAAAAAACTGTCCTACATTCTTGATATAAAGGTATTAGCCTGAAGTGGAAACTTTATTTTTAACATGTACTTTATGTCCTTAATTTTTTATTTAAAAATTACCGTAGTTCTGCTGGAGGGGAGGGGGTTGGGGAGGATGGGGTAACTGGGTGATTGACATTAAGGACAGCACATGATGTAATGAGCACTGGGTGTTATGTAAGACTGATGAATCACTGACCTCTACCTCTGAAACCAATAATACATTATATGTTAATTAATTGAATTTAAATAAGAAAATAAATTTAAAAAATTACTGTAGTTCTGCTTTATCTAATACTTAGTTCCTTAAAATGATTATTGTAACCTTAATAATATAGTATTATGTCTTGGCGAGGAAAAAGAAGAATGGAAGAAAGCACAGAAGTAGAACTTTGCTGATACTGAAGTTTTCTCTGTGGTGTGTGTGTGTGTGTGTGTGTGTGTGATTTTCCATCTAGCTTTTCACTGAGTATGGCAGACTGGCAATGGAGGAAATATTCCTGAAACCATTTCAGGTGAGTGGAGGGTAAAATGATGGTAAATTCTTATTAAACTTTTCTGAAGAGTATAACCAGGTATATTAATTAATTGAGAGGGTCACATTTCTTCCTTTTTTATTTCATTCAACAAGTACTTTGATAACTTTGTTAATGCTATTTGATGCAAGTAGGAGATTAAAATAGGGAAATAAAAATTTAACAAACTGGGAAAATGAAAAGATGAATTAGATATTTTGGTTCCTACAAGAATATCATCTTTTCTCCCCTGAATCCAACCCTAGAGATGTCACAAAAACTAAAAAAAAAAAAAAAAAATGATGAATTTGTCAAACATAAAAGTTAAAAACAAACAAGATTCCTGGGAAAATGGGAGTTACAAGACACAGCAAAAGCTAAATGAGTACCAGAGACAGGATATTGGGTTGGAGCAAGTTTCTTGGAGGTGCTTTTTTTCTTTCTTTCTCTTTCTCTTTCTTTCTCTCTCTCTCTTTCCCTCTTTCTTTCTTTCTTTCTCTTGCTTTATTTATTTAAATAAATAAATAATAGTTTGGACCCATGTGGGGTCCAAACTGAAGACCCCAAAAGAATCCCATGCTCTTCCAGCTAAGCCAGCGAGGCACCCCACTTTTTTCTTTCTTACACATTGACCTGTGTGAACCATCACTTGCTTCATTGCACTAGGTATCAGAATAGCAACCAGCTCAGCCTCTGCTTGGAACAGCAGGATAATGTCAGGGCAATATCTGAGCTTGTATTGAGTGGTATAAGTGATTATTTGGCCCATTAATGCTCCCTCTGCCTCAGCCCTCTTTATATATCAAGAACCAGGAGATTATAATTAAGTCAAAGAGCCTTGAAAACCTGGAGGAGGTACAGATTTAAACACCAATGACTGCTTACCTGAAGCATGACAGCTTCAGCCTAGGCTTATCAGAGGGACTGAAGCAAAGTCTTAGACTAAATAAAACCAAGAATGAAGGAAGGAAGGAAGGAAGGAATGAATGAAAAAGAAAAAAGAAAGAAAGAAAGAGAGGGAGGGAGGAAAAGGAAAGAAAGAAAGAAAGACCTCCAAAAAACTTGCCCCCACCCAATATCCTGTCTCTGGTACTCATCTAGCTTTTGCTGTGTCTTATAACTGGTAAGTGATGTTGAGAATGGGGGAGGCTATGCATGTGTAGGGGCAGGTGGTATACATGGCAGATTTCTGTACCTTCCTTTCAATTTTATTGTAAATCTAAAACTGCACTAGGAAAATAAAGTCTTAAAAACAAAACAAAACCATTCAAAAATGTTAAACTGAATAAAGAAAAAATAGGCAAAGGACATATAGACAATTCACAGAAAGGAAACCTGAATGGCTAACACATTTTTGAAAGGATGTCAAGTCTCATTGATAATCAGATAAAAATTAAAACAACAAGATACCATTTTACACTCATAGGCAAAAAGTTGAACAGGGGTATAATACCAAATGATAGCTAGGATTTGGGTAAGGGGGAGCACTCAGGCCTGTTGGTGAAAGTGCGGATTGGAGCAGTGATTCTGTGAAGCAGGGAAAATGTGTAAGGATATTCACTGTAGCATTGATAGAGTAGTAGTAGCAGGAAGTGGGAGGCAGCAGAGGTGTCCATCACTAGAAGAATGGGTACATAAATATGGTGAGAAGCACATTCTGGAATATTTTGCAACATCCAAAGGCAATGAACCCATAATCTACAGAGTAGCATGAATAGAGTGTTAAAATCCATACTGAATTAAGTAGGAAAAAAGTTTGAGATTTAGAACGCAGTAATTTATGATTACTTAAAATGCTCTATATACACAAAAATAATACATATTAGAGTGAGTATGATTGAGAGCAGACAGTTGAATGGGAGTGGGGATCTGGGAAAAATAGGATAAAGCAAGAAAGGGGCCTTTGCAGGGAGAGACGATGGTATGCTTTGAGTGAAGAAGGAGTGTGGATCTTTCCCTGAGGTCTAGGGAAGGGGGTGGGCAGAGGAGTCCAGGTAGAATAAAACCAGTCCCTGCTTACAGTCTTCTTACCTACTAGACTCTGTTACCTTTATTTATTTTTTTTAAAGCTTTTATTTATTTATTTGACAGAGAGAGAGAGAGAGAGCACAAGCAGGAGGAGCAGCAGAAGGAGAGGGAGAAGCAGGGTCTCCACTGAGCAGGGAGCCTGATGCGGGGCTCGATCCCAGGACCCTGGGATTGTGACCTGAGCTGAAGGCAGACGCTTAACGACTGAGCCACCCAGGCACCCCTAGACTGTTACCTTTAAAAAATAATAATGTGTTAGGTTGATAGTTGGAGTGTTATATAGTAATTGGGCTGTCAGCTTTGATTTTTCTCTTCTCTGAACTTGTTACTCTCCAGATCCATTGGCTGACTGGGAACTCCATTGTAAATTCTGGAAAGGATTTTTAAGTCTTACCAGCAAATGTTACTGCTTCTTACACTTTGCCAGAAGAAAAGAGACTAACCCATGCTTTGATTAGATAGATAGGTAGGTAGGTAGGTAGGTAGGTAGGTAGGTAGATAGATAGATAGATAGATAGATAGATGAAAGAAAGAAAGAAAGAGAGAAAGAGAGAGAAAGAAAGAGAAAGAAAGAAAGAAAGATAAAGGAAGAAAAAAAGAAAAAAAAATGAGGGACACACAGGGAGAGGTACTGCTTTTGGTAAAATAATAATAATAATAATGAATTGAGAACAAACAATAGAAAAAAACTTTAAGAGATTATCACTTGTTGGCAAACTGGTGGCATTTTGAAATGTCAGTGAGAAAAAGTTTTTGTTTTTGTTTTTTGTTTTGTTTTTTATTTATTTGTCAGAGAGAGCACAAGCAGGAGGAACAGTAGGCAGAGGGAGAAGCAGGCTCCCCACATAGCAAGGAGCCCGATGCGGGGCTCAATCCCAGCAAGGAGCCCAGTGCGGGGCTCAATCCCAGGACCCCGGCATCATGACCTGAGCTGAAGGCAGCCACCTAACCGACTGAGCCACCCAGGCATCCTGAAAAAAAGTTTTGACTGAATGAGTCAACAATGACTCCTAAACAAGTTGGCACCTGTAAATCAAAGTATCTGAAATTGAAATGAGAATGTCATTAAATAACAAAAGTGGCTTCCAAAGATATTTAATAATATTTAAAATGCAACCAAATTCTATACATCATGAAATTAAAAGGTAATATGCTAATGTATTCAGATTTCAGAATGTTTAAGATATCAGCAGATAATTCACATTTTTTATTTTACCTTTTTTTTTAAGATTTTATTTATTTTTGTGAGAGAGATATCGAGCGAGTGTGCAGGAGTGGGGAGGGGGCGGGATGGGGTGGAGTGCAGAGGGAGAAGCAGACTCTCCACTGAGCAGGGAGCCCGATGCAGGGCTCGATCCCAGGACGCTTAACCGACTGAGCCACTCAGGCGCCCTAATTCACATTTTTTTTAAAAACATCGTTAAGAGCAATGTTAATGAGCTTACTGCCTACAGAATAATTCACATTTAAATTAGAAAAAGTCTCAAGAGAAAAAGTTCAAATATAAAATAACTTTTAAATCAAAGTTCAGTTAATTCACAAGCTGTTTTGAGAGGTCATCACTTCTAACCTCTTCCTCTATCTCAGAAGACAACAGCTTTATTTATTTGGATAAAAGTGTGGAGAAGAAATTTTAAACATTGCCTGAGAGACTAAGATGAGAGGTAATGAAATTTAAAAAATAATAATTTGTACTCAAAACTAAATTTAACAAACTTAAAATAGAAGAATTCTTACCTCTGAAGCGGTAAAATTGTAAATAATGAACAAGATCTATCACAGGCAGGAAAAGGGAGGGCAGTTAGTCAATGAAGTGAATAGCTAAATTAACAGATTAATTTGATTCTTATATCAAAAGCCAACTTATATCAAGCTAACAAAGTATCTGTTGTATTACTAAAAACTTTTTAAGAAGAGAACTAAAAGGGAAGTGAATTCAGTTTAAAAGCAGTACTGAAGTGTAAAGTTTAGCCAGTGGTGTGCTGATAAATGTTTACAGCTGGCTGGCGAGGAGGGAGGAGGTGGTCCTGATTTGAAAGCATTTACTGATTTCTGAGGTACAAATACGTTTACCATGGCTGATTTCAAGCTGCAACCGTGATGTCAACTGACTTGTGAAATTCCTCAAACTTTAACAACTGCTCCTTGTGAGCCTGTATTTAGCACACTCGGGAAGTAGAACCCAGAGCAAGACGTAACATTTGAGGACTGAATTAGCCGCTGGGCACACCCTGGCAGAGGGCATCTATGGGAGGGGAGCTTCTGGTAACAGAGAAATGGGATGCTGTGTCTATGTGCATTTGTATGTACATTTGTATGTACAAGAGCTTAGTAACAAGTTTTACCTGTAATAGGAAGACAAGAAGGATTAAACCCTAAAAAAACCTTCCTGCACACAACCTTTAATTCTCTTTTCTTAGAAGATTTATTTCATTCCTCAGCACATATTTTAGGTATACTTACATTTATTCTCTGCTTTTTCACCTCCTTAGTGTTAAGTACTTCACCTTCTGGATTAATTAACTCATCCCAGTTTTCTCCCATAGCATTTTTATGAACCATTTTCATATGCTTAAAGGCCCTCCAAACACCCTAGGCCTTAGAAACAGATTTGACTCACTACACCCACACCCACACACACAAATGATAAGTATGTGAGGTGATGGATATGTTAGCTAACCTTATTGTGGTAACCGTTTCACAATGTATATGTATGTCATCATCATGCTGTAGACCTTAAACATACACAATGTGGTATGTCAATTGTATTTCAGTGAAGCTGGGGGAAAAAAAGATTTGAATCCTCTTTGTGAGATAAGATGAAACTCAACTTTTCATGTTTCTTTTGGTGGAGATGTAATTATTAGTGAGCAGCTCAGTCCATGCCAGTGTTATGGTTAAACTGAAGATTGGTAGAAAATAACAATAGAGGAGGCATATAATAATATATTGTTGTATTAGGATAAACCTCC